GAACAGAAAACAGTGAACTAAGCTCCAAGGAGTCAACTGTGTTCCCAGGAACTTTTGAGGTAACTTGTATTCTTTGCAGTGGTCTCTTAGGCTGGAAGAATGTCTTGTTCATAGCCCAGATGTCTAAACATCACCTCAGTTTCTCATAATGAGTGAAGAAGAGAAGAAGGCAAAAGAAAAACAGGATTACTTACCGGTTGGTGTGTACGGCCTGAGGATAATCATTTTTAACTCCTCCTTCTCCTTCCCTCACCACATCTAAGCCAATGCTGAATTCTGCCAGTTTTAACCTGTAGATATTTCTTGAGCTCATCTACTTCTCTGTAATCCTAGTTCAGGCCCTTATCACCTCTTGCCTAGGCTACTACAACTAGATCCTAACTGGTCTCCCTGTTTACATCCTCGCGCCCTTTAAATTTACCCTCCACCTTTTTACTAAAGTGGTATATATTAAGAGACTTCAATAGGTGCTCATCACCAGCAGGAGAGCCCAAGCTGTGAACCATGCTTGTTTTGCCAGTCTTGTCTTTTACAAGTCATGTACCAGCGAAACAGAGACAGCTGTAATTCCCCCACATCTGCCATACTCTTTCACCTCCTCATCTCCTCTGCATAGAATCTTCTTTTTCTCTCTTTGTCTTGTGTTCCCCGTAGTCCACCACCTCACACCCTTTTCTCCACCACACACTCTTCTACTTCACTTCACCCCCTGACACGAAGACTCATCTTGCTAGGTTTTTACTTAATAAACTTGTTGAATACATGTATGCATACTTCCACACTCAGGTCCGCAGTCACTTTCAGAAATCCTTAGCTGGTTCTCCAGTTGCCTGCAGAAATTCTGTGCGGATCACTGTGGCACTATTTTAAAAGTAGCTGTTTATGTATCTTTCTTTCCCACCAAACTGTAAGCTGCCCAAGGATAGAAACTGAGCCCTGTTCATCTTTGGGAAATAGGTTTTTTTCTCTTCTGTGTGCATCCTGGGAGGGTGTCACATTCTGAGTGATATCAGACATATTCAGCAAACTACTGGAGTATAGATGCTAGAGCTTCTTTTCCTTCTTCCATCTCTTTCCCCTCTCTCTACCTCACTGTGGGTGCTGGGAAAAGGAAGCCAAACCCAGTCACCATCCAGGGTTTCTCTCCAGCTTTCCTTGGTTTTCCTGTTTATGCTCCCTTTTATTGCCCTAGCAAAGAAGTCCTATGCTCATTTTTTCCCTTATGTCAGCTCTCAAAGGCAGAGCAGGAAGAATTTGACTGCCCCTTAACACAGAATCCCAATAATTAGGAACAGAAACAATCCCCAGAGGGCTCAGTAAGCAGAAACACCAACACCTGACCTGGACTCCCTGAAAAGCAGGGGGAGATGTTGGCATTTCTTGCTAGGTTTGGTTCTTTTAATCAGAACTGGACCAGTGATTCTTTCTAAGTAAACAAAGAATAAAACCAAGCAAAATGAAATACAACAAAAAACAAGTTGAATTTCCCTATCATGACAGGTTGAACTTTTTGGTTCTTACATGTGCTTTTCAGTGCTTTTAGGGGGTGTTTGAATGAATGATAAATGAAGCTAATGTTGAGACACAAATTTTGAATAAGGATTTAATGAGATGGTAATCAGACCTAGCTGCTGATAACAATGACACAGATTACCACCTTTCACTTATTGATTATTTAATGAGATCCTATCATTCACACAGTAGTATACAAAGAAACATAACAGATTGTCCTTGCTCAAAGAAGACCTGGAAACTGGAAGTCTAGAGGAAATAAATGCACACAAATCAAGAGCTCGAAGCATATGAAACAAGAGGTGTTCCACATGTAGAACCTGACCAAATGGCAAATGAGTGATACAGATAGTAATCATTTTGAGACCTGAGAAGGGAGAGACACTCTAGGCCATGAACTTAGTTGACAAAGTATGGAAAGAGCAATGAGCACACAGTACTTTGCTGGGATGTTAACTTAAAACAGTCCAGCTAACTGGGAGGATTGGGTTTGAGGAGATGAGGCTGGAAAATCCTGTGGAGACCCTAGGAATTGAGGATAAGAAATGAGTTTTCAATTGTTAAATCACTGGTTCTCAAACTTGACTGCAAATTAGAATCTCCTGAGAAACTAAAAATATTGATGTCTGGGTCCTATACACAGAGATTCTGATTAAACTGGCCCAGGAATCAAAGGTTTTTAAAAACTGTAGCTGATTCTAATACACTGTCAGCTTGAGAAATCTGTTACACGATCGTGATTTTCAACCCTCACTAAATATTAGAGTCAAAGGGGGGAATTTTTATGACAATACTAAAGATGACCCACAGAATGGGAAAAATATACGCAAATCCCATATCTGATAAGGAACTTGCATCAAAAATATGTAAAGAACTCTGATAATTCAATAATTAAAAGGCAACCCAGTTAAGTGGGCAAATGATCTGAATACACATTTCTCTAAAAAGGATAGACAAATGCTTAAAAAGCATATAGAAAATGCTCCACATCATCAGTCATTCGAGAAATGCGTATCAAACCACAATAAGATACTGTTTCATATCCACCAGAATGGCTATAGTAACAAAAGTGAACAATAACAAGTGTTGACAAGGAGGTGGAGAAATCAGAATCCTCGGACACTGCTGGTAGAAATGTAAAATAGTGCAGTTGCTTTGGAAAACAGTTTGTCAGCTCCTCAAAAAGTTAAGCTGAGTTACCATATAACCTAGCAATTCCACTCCTGGTATACACCCAAGAGAACTGAAAACATATGTCCACACAAAAATGTGCACATCAATGTTCATAGCAGCAGTATTCATAATAGCAAAAAAATGAAAGCAAGTGATGAATGGAAAAACAAAATGTGGTGTATATACATACAACAAGGTATTATTTAGCCATGAAAAGGAATGAAGTTCTGATACATTTTACAACAGAGATGAACCTTGAAAACATGATGCTAAGTGAAAGAAGCCAGACAAAAAAGGCCATATATTGTATAAGCCCATTTATATGAAATGCCCAGAATAGACAAATCCATAGAGACAGAAAATAGATCAGTGGTTGCCAGGAGCTAGAGGGAAGGAGGAATGAGGAGTGGTTGCTAATGGGTATGGGATTTCTGTTTGGGGACAATAAAAATACAATATTCTGGAATTGGATAGTGACCATCCATTTGCAATTTGTGAATTTAATAAAAAACCACTGCCAGAGGGAAGGAAGGTGGGGGGATGGGCAAAATGGGTGAAAGGGGGTGGGAGATATGGCTTCCACTTATGGAATAAGTATGACATGGGAATGAATGGTACGGCATAGGGAGTACAGTCAATGGTATTGTAACATGGTTGTGTGGTGACAGATGGAAGCTACACAGTGGTGAGCGTAGCATAACTATAAAGTTGTTGAATCCCTATGTGGTACATTGTGTGTCAACCATACTCAAAGAAAACAAAATAAAACCCAACCACTGAATTGTATACTTTAAAAGGGTGAACTTAAAAAAAAAAAAAGAGTGGCTTTATGGTACATGAATTATATCTCAATAAGTTGTATAAAAAAATGAGAAGAAACAATACAAATCCCTTCTCCAATCCAGCATAGACTAATTAAATCAGAATTTCTGGAAATGGGACCTGGACATAGGTTTTTTTTTTTTTTTTTTTAAGTTCTGGGATGTACAGCCAGAGTTGAGAACAATGCAGGTGACAAAAAACTACTAGTAACTTAGTTCTATGCATCTTCCTTTTTCCCAAAGTAAAAACAAAACACCTGAGCACTTGAATGCAAATCCAGGTTAAATTGGAGGTTTTATTTTAATAGATTTTTATTTTATTTGGCTCTTCAGTATGGGTGTTGTTTCAAAAAACCTTTTTTAAAAAATGCAAATAGGTAGATAATTATTAGCATAACCCCAAATAACAGCAAATTTTTTTTGGGGTCTGTATTAAATTTTGAATCAGAGACACAAAACCATTCATTGTTTTTGAGAAATTCATTGTTTTAGAGTAAAGGAAAATTTAGAGAAATTTGCGAAGTTGATCCTTAATGGTTAAGTGGTCTATTTCTCAGGTGGTTGTAGTTTACTTGGGTTTTTAGTCGTAGTTTTGCTCACCATCTATTCAGCGATTTTAGACAAATCATCTAATATTTCTGGGCCTCATACAGTCATTAAAAAAAAAAGGAATATATTGTCATGTGCCAGGCAATGGGGATACAGTGGGAAACAGGATGGAATAGATGTGTTCTCTTCCTCATGTAGGTTAGAATACCTAGCTTCAGGTTCTTTGCTTTGAGAACAGTGAAGAGACTGAACTAGATGGTCTCCAGATTCTTTGATCATTTACTGGAATAGCATGGAGGTAGAAAAATGGAGTAGAGGGGGAGCTCTTGTATACCTCTTCCATTTCCTGTGATTTAAGGGAATGATTATGTGAAGTTCTTGAGAAGGCTCTTCTCAGAATTTGCTATGGAATGTAAGTTCAACTCTTTGGGTTATGTCTTCTCTTACTTTTTATCCTACTCTTGGAATGGCCAACAAACAAAGTCCAAATGTTTCAAAACATTTTAATTACACAAAAGCCTGTATCACAACTTAAAACCAAATCTATTTGTGTATCGACATCAGGTGTTAAAAAGCCATTTCCAAGGATCCCACTCAATCAAGAAGATACACAACTATGCACGATTGACATCTTTGGAATCTTAGCACAGATTCAAAAATTCCAAATGCATAGCTGTGGTGCTCAGTGCCAACAGAAGGCCACATTCTGCCCTCCAAGTGAAAACACGCTCCATCATTCCATTCAAAGGAGGATGAAAATAATATCAAAATGCAAACTTTTAAACTCTCAGTATAATTATCTTCCAAAGAGCTCCCGCATCTTCATCTGCCAAGAGAAAACCTTTACTGGAGATCTGTTTATTTTGTTAATTAATTTGTTTTGATTTCAGGAAAAAAAAAAGTCCTCACGCCCTTGTTCTAAGCAAATGATTTTTCCTTCTTCAGAAAACAAGATTTTGGTGAAGCAGTTGCCCAGGCTTGTGGTATACAACAATGAGGTCAACCTGAGCTGCAAGTATACCCACAACCTCTTCTCAAAGGAGTTCCGCGCATCCCTTTATAAGGGAGTAGATAGTGCTGTGGAAGTCTGTGTTGTGAATGGAAATTACTCTCATCAGCCTCAGTTCTACTCAAGTACAGGATTCGATTGTGATGGGAAACTGGGCAATGAAACAGTGACATTCTACCTCCGGAAGTTGTTTGTTAACCAAACGGATATTTACTTCTGCAAAATTGAGGTCATGTATCCACCTCCTTACATAGACAATGAGAAGAGCAATGGGACCATTATCCATGTGAAAGGTAACACACAACTCTACCAGTGCACTGCTCTAAAGTAATGGCTTTCAATGGCAGTCTTGAAAACTAGGTCATGATCAGTGGTGGGGTTGGATAAATCCCAGAGAGGAAGCCTACACATTCTACACTAGTGATATTTTGCATATTTTGATCCCTTTCCCATTCTTCTATAATGTTCAGAAGGAAGGAAATGTACTCAAGTGCCACTTCCATGTTGTTTAACCCACTCTGTTCTATTTTTCAGAGAAACATCTTTGTCCAGCACAGCCGACTCCTGAATCTTCTAAGCCATTTTGGGTACTGGTGGTGGTTGGTGGAGTCCTGGTTTTCTATAGCTTGCTAGTAACAGTGGCTCTTTGTGCTTGCTGGGTAAGAGAAGCAACACTGCTTTTGTGTAACTTTTCCACTGCACATGTAATCTGAACATGTTCAAGAATTTTGCCCATGTGGTTCGTTTTCTGTTTAACATGTGCTGGTTATTATTATTGCTGTTATTTCCTTGCTAGGTTTGGGTAGGTTCTCTTTTAGCCTGTTCAACTTTATCTGAGATGAAAATCTAATGTGAATTCAATTTTCCGGAAGGCACTAATTAGGTGGCCAGGCAGAATAAGAAGCTAAACGGGTAAATCGGGAGTGGGGTGGGGGTGGGAGTCTTAGGGCCAGTTACTTTTCTTCTTCCCATTTTGCAATATCATAATGATGTATAAAATAGTTTTAATATATACATATATATAAAAATCTAAGCAACCTGGGAATCTAGGCACTGAAACCAATGAACAATTTTGGTTCAGGGTCAAAAATTGTGAGAAATTTGGCTACTGAAATTATGCATTCAAACCTAGCAAAGAAACTAGGTCTTTTTATCTGAGTCATATTTTTATCTCCTCTGAAGCAGTTGAATTTTGTGAGGCCAAGTATGGTTGCTGTCATGATGAAACCATAATGGGAGTTAGACTTTCTGAGCTCTCAGCACTGAATTAGAGTTTACCAATTTGTGTAAATGTTCATGTCATGAACTTGGTGTATTTTTCTTTACCTTCTTCAAAGTTGGAAGTTTTGAAACCATCTTGATGACCATATCCACTGTTAAGATGGGACTCCCTTACCAACGATCTTTCCCTTACTCAGAAATCTCCCTTTCTCATGTACACAGTGTGAGACAGAATATCTCCTGCATTGATTCCATGTTGTCTTTGAATTTTTTACTATAAGTTAGATGCATGTATGAGTCATTTCTTTAATAAGAAATGTATGTTCCTCAAGGATAAAGGACCATTTCTCTTGATATTCACCGTCCATCTGGTATTAAGCATATTTAATCCTTAATGAGTGCTTATCAAATTGATGAATTGATAACCCTCATAAAGGCCAAACTAAGGACTTAAATGAACATATCTTTAAGGCATATTCTTTTTTTTTAAAAAAGATTTTATTTATTTGACAGAGAGAGACAGTGAGAGCAGGAACACAAGCAGGGGGAGTGGGAGAGGGAGAAGCAGGCTCTCCACTGAGCAGGGAGCCCGATGTGGGACTCGATCCCAGGACCCTGGGATCATGACCTGAGCCGAAGGCAGCCACTTAACTGACTGAGCCACCCAGGCGCCCCTTAAGGCATATTCTACACATTTAACTAATCCATATATGGGTCAGTGATTTCTGGAACCCACACGAGGTGAAACTGTCCTATTTACTAAAGACCTGGTGCTGGGGGGCTGGGTGGGTAGAGGTGAGGAGGGCAGCCTTGGGTTCACAGTCATGTAAATGATAGATCCAGCCTGGGATCCTTTTATTTTACTTTTTTTAAAGATTTATTTATTTGAGAGAGAAAGAGCATGAGTGTGCGAGTGTGGGGAGGGGCAGAGGGAGACTCCCTGCTGAGCACCGGAGATGGGGCTCGATCTCATGACCCATAAGATCATGACCTGAACTGAAACCAAGAGTCCGATGCTTAACCGACTGAGGCATTCACGTGTCCTGCCTGAGATCCTTGTAAACTCTGTTGGCCTATTTCCAAAGTTTGCTTCTCAATCTTTCCCCACATGCTTCTAACATTTTGGAAGACTCTAGGGGCAGATAAACATTTGTTAGGCTGCCTGTTGCTTCATCTGTCCCTTCTGTAGGGTAGGGAACAAAGTGGCTGTTTATTCCTGGAAATCTCTTATACTAGATAGTAACTTGATATTTACCTGTCTTGCCTCTTCCAAGTTGCTCAACCCTGGGAGCCTTTTATGTAGAGAAATATTGCTTAAATTCTTCCTCTGATGTCAGTTGAGTCCCTCATCTTTCTGGATCTTGGGGTCTTCATACAAGGTACCTTCCCACTTTGAACCTCTGTGGTGTTTGCCAATGATTTTAGAATTTAGAATCTTAGTCCTTATTTTTATCCCTTGGGAATTTCAACTTCTTAATCTGAAATATAGGTGTAATGGCTTTATGGGTACAGTTCCATGACAGGTGCTCCCTTGTAATATGCTGACCTACGTCAGTGTAATTTGCCAGTTTTCCAGGAATTCGTTTTGAAAATTACTTTAACTTTCAGTGGCCAGAAGGGTACCGCTCATCATTTAAAACTTATTGTAAATACACATTAGAGTATCAATTACTATAATCAGGCACTAATTTGCTCAGTGACGGGAATCACCCAAAGGAACAAAAGCCACTTCTCATTTTCAATGAATTTATACAGTTCACTTTCAACTTGGAAACATCATAGATACCACGGGTTTTTCTTTGGTGGTACTACTTGCTTTGTCTTGAGAAAACTTAACTTTGGTCTTACTCTGTTTCATAGGTTCCTTGTGAATTAGGAAGAGCCAGTAGTTGGCATGATCTTATCTTCTGTGGCCTCTTATAGTCAATTAGGTTGTCCAGTAAGAACCCTTTGGTTTGCATCTCAACCTAGGTCTTTGTACTCTCTGCCCAAAAGGGTGTGAAATAAATATATTTCTATATTTCATAAGATAACATCACATTTTTCCCCTTGGCTCATCTTTTCTTGCTGCTATTACTGTTTAAGCCACCAGCACCTCATTGAACAAGGCAGCCAGGCCATTAGGGATCCCTAGAGGTTAGCCATTTCCTGGGTCCTATTCCAGGAGCCTATTTTTGGCTGGTCAGCACTATGCCTTGGCGTGAGCTGTTGTTCTCCGGAACTCCCTGAGGGCTTGTGATGAGCTACTGCAGGCGGTTGTAGGCTGAGTGGGTTCCTGGGAGCAGCTGCACATTCTAGCCCAGCTCTTGACCTGTTGCTGGCATTTGAATAAATAAAGTGCTCCCCTGTGCCAGGCTGCTGCCGAACAGCACCTGTTACTGTCACTCAATCCTCCACTCACTCAGCTGAGCTAGTAAACCTATTCTCTTTCTTAGTCTAAAGGAGCCTTTTTGAAAACACGATCTTCTCCACTATCAGTCACAATGTGGGGAATGTGGACAGTGTGTGGATAGGTGGTATCTGCCAGTGTGCTCTTGAAGACTGTGCCTTGAAGTGAATTGTGTCTTGTTGCTGCTTCCAGGAAACAGGCGGGTGAGGGTGGGGGTGGAGGAAGGGCAAAGGAGGAGCGGTCCTGAAATCCCACATCTTTAGCAGACATAGCAGAATGGGGAAGGGGCAGAATAGAGCACCCAGTCACACAGACACATAAGGCGAGTCCTCTCCACACATATATGCAGGTGCACACAGACACTGTGGGTTCTGGATTGTGTTCCCAGCCATGCATGTGTCATTTCCATCCCACTGTTGGGTTTACAGCTTAGTGGACTAAATCCACCATCTGAAAACAGCATGAGGGAAAGCATGGGAGCTGAATGAGCAGATCTTTCAGAGTCTTTGGGCAACCTGGAGAGCCTCAGACCCACGACATCTTCATTATTGGGGCTTCTCTACCAGCTATAGTTGTATTTCAGTGTCCGGAGGCAAAGACTGCCATTTGGGAGTCTGGCAAGGGAAGTCCTCAGAGGTGGAGTAAGTACTAAAATGCTTGCCAGGGTATCAGGAGCAGCTTTCCACATTTATTTGGGGGCAGAAGTTTCTCCTGCTCTGGCATAACCCTGTGCCCAAGAGAACTCTAGTCCTTATTTATGGAAAGGATGTAGAGCCACGATGTTTGGAGAGCAACTTCCCTCATCCACTGTGTTTCCATGGCTACCTCTCTTGAATGAATCTCCCAGTTATGTCTGTTTAATACTGTCCTCTTCTTAGTTTCAGTTGGATTATCCATCCATCATTCAAATCCCAAATGACCAAAGCTGGATTTGTAAACTTCTCTTACAAATCTACTTCTCCTACTGTCCTGCCTTATATCTATGGATGGAACAGCTTCCTTCCAGTCTCCCAGGCTCAAATTATTGGTCATCTCTGGGGATGAGCAAGAAGGAAGGGTCAAGCAATCCAACAATATTCATTCTAAATTTGGTCCCATATTTTGTATCCATTACTTCCTTTTCATTCCATTCCTTTTCATGATCAGACTTCTTAGATCAGGATTTCTCAGTCTTGGCATTATTGACATTTTGGGCTGGGTAGGTCTTTGTTGATGGGGACTGCCCTGTGCACCATAGGGTGTTTAGCAGCAGCTCTGGCCTCTACACACTGGATGCCATAATATTCTTCCCAGTTGTGACAACACAAAATGCCTTCAGACATTGCCTGGGACAAGGGATAGGGAGCTGGTGGTGTCAAGGATGAGACTTAGGAAGTCTTGGGCAACTGTATATATGGCAGTGGCACTCACTGAAATAGAAACACCGGGAGAGGACCAGACGTTAGGGGAGGATCTGAGTTTCGTTTTGGACATGTTGAGTTTGAAGTACCTTTGAGGTCTCATCCAGAGATATAAATTTGGGTGAATAGGTGGTAATTGAAGCTGCAAATGGGGATGAGTTTGCCTAGAGAGAATGGAGTGAATAGAGGAGAAGGCCTGTGAGGAGCTCTAACACTGAATGGCTACTTAGAGAAGGATGAGCTTGCAAAGGAGGCAGGGAAGGAGTAGCCAGACAGGTAGGATGAAAACCAGTATGGTACCATCTCATGGAAGGCAAAGTGGAACAGTGTCTCAAAAAGTCGAGAGTAATCATTAATAGAGAATGCCGCCAAGAATTCAAAAGATAAGGACTGAAAACATGTTAGTTGGATTTAGTAATGTGGAGGCCAGTGTTTTTCAAGCCTTTCTTTAACACTTGCTCATGTTCATTTGACAAGGAAGGTGTGAAGGGCTCAGGGAGGAGTGCATGAAAATAAGGCCAGGGCAAAAGTCACCTGCTCACCTGTTCAAGGGTTCATGTCATTCACGTGGCATGTATCTACTTATGCATCAGGCCAGGTGTTAAGAAATAGACATTTTTTTTCCCTAAAGGGAATTCTGAATTCAGAAACCTGGGTAGCTATTTTTTAGAATTTTCATGGGTCTTTTATCAAACATGTAAATTTTACCATCACTTTGGTTCAGGAAAGATGCTCCTAACCTCCAGTCAAAACTATGCTAAGATTCATGGTGCGCGTAACTCTTGCTCTGGGTTTTAGTATTGCCACTACTTCCCTCACCCCTGATAGAAATTCATCCAGAAGGAGCTGAATCTGAGGAACAGAGATTGAGTGACACTATGGTCTTTATGGAAACGTACATACACGTCAGAGAATACGAATGTAACTAGTTGTCTTGAATTATACCTCTCCACTAATTTGGACTCCAGGGCTATGAATTTATGATTATTTCAGACTCTAGAGGGGTGAAGGTCCTCTTGGATTAATGATGGAAAAATGGCTTGTTAAGCAAATGACAGATGTAAGAAGATTGCAGTGGGGATGCTTAACTTTTTCAAAGGAGGAAGGGCCTTCAAGAGTATTTACATATCAACAGTGGATATGTTAATTAGAGATGCTTTTGGAATTCAAATGACTGCATTGAGGATAACATTGGTACATTATCTAAAAAACTTTCTTTGATTCAGATTTTTGCATGTTAATTTAGAGGAGTTCAAAGTAGTTAGGTTTGATTAGGCACTATCCGGGTCCAAGGCGCTCAATGAATTCAGGTGTATTCAGCTTCATTTGACGGTCTATGTTCTGAGTAGTTGCTCCCGCAAGTCTTAGAACTCCTCCCACTCTATGTCTCTCTGTTCCCTGACCCCCTTCACAGTGACCCTTCTCTTTTCTGCAGATGAAGAATAAGAGAAGCAGGATCCTTCAGAGTGACTACATGAACATGACCCCCCGGAGGCCCGGGCCCACCCGAAGGCACTACCAACCCTATGCCCCAGCACGCGACTTTGCAGCATACCGCTCCTGACATGGACGCCTATCCAGATGCGAGCCGGCTGGCAGCTCTTCATCTGCCCAACACAACTGCTCTGGATAGGAAAAACCCGCCTCGTCTTCAGCCGGCCACGGGCTCCTTTTATGGGCTCTTATTAAGCTCCCAATGCCAATTTTTCTTGAATGACTAGACCAAATAACATTATTTTGAGACTCTGAAATGAAGTTAAAGAATATTACTGTGGCAGGCTCTGTCTTGTCGTGCCATGACCCAAATTCCAACTTGCCATGTATTTATTGACTCAAGAGGTTGCAGTAGATTCTGTTAACCTTGAAATCTGCTTTCCATTTCACTCCTTTCTCACTCACCTGAACATTGTGGTCAAGTGAAGTGTGATATGGAGGGACTCTTTAGATGGAGAAGAAAGGCTAGGAACTCATTCCTTTTAGTTAAATGGGGGTTTAGGGTGGGAATAGGTTAGAGTGGGGGAGAGGGGAGGGAGACTTACTTAATGAAAAATCATTAAAACACTGTCTCTCATTCATGAAATGAGCCACTTAGTTCCTATTTAATACTGTTTTAGTTTAAAAAGATATAGACATGTTTTTTTTTTTTTTTGATGAACTCTGATCATATTTAGTCATTTTGACCAATGGAATTCCTTCGAAGCAATTTGAGGCAAACAGTATCACCCTCCTTACTCCTTGGGATGGGAATTCAATGTAGTATTCACAGTATAATTTGAAAAGAATAAAATAGTCCTCCCAAACCAAGGATGTGTCAGGAAATGAAGGGTTACTTCTTTAGCAGATCATTCCAGTTAAATCATATAGGGGGCTTTTCTGTTCCCTCTATTTCAGGTTTGGCTGGTTGGTCTCTTTGTTGTCCGTGTGGACACTGAAAGTGCATCCAGAGCAGTGATGATACTGTGAAAATGGGGTGTGGGTGTTCATGAGGGCATGGGGGATGAGTCCCAAGAAACTTCTTCTGGAGGAGGAGAAGAGAAGGAAATCATGTGACTCTTGCCAATGTACTGAGGGGCAGGGGCCAACATCTGGTGGAAGATTTCCAGAAGACAGAAGGAGACATGGCGAAAATTCCTTTACAGCAACTTTACATACTTTGGGCTCAGAGCTCCAGAACTCTGTGGGTTCAGCTGTATGTTTACCCTGGAGGTCCAGTGACATGGAAAACTATTTTGGAGTGTGTCTTTTAAGACAGCATCAAAGTTCTCAAGATACCCTGCAAAACCTGACCCTGTAAGACCTGATCTTGTCATGACCATGGATATTTTTCTGCCTCCAGTTGGGGTCCACTGGCGTATGCCTGGGGACCTTGAAGAACAGCTTTACTGCTGCCTTTACAATTTGTTCAGTGCTTCAATTTACTCCGATGTTAAAGGAGTATAGGTTTTAGAAGCAGTTAAAATAGATCTGGTTCAAGTCCCATTTCTAGTTGGCCTTAGGCAAATCACTGACTTTCTAAGACTCTACTCTTCAACTATAAAATGGCGGTAACGATCATAATTGTTTGTCGCTATGGTATAAACTCCATCAGGGCATGGCCCAAGTGTGTCTTTTGTTTTTTTCTGCTTGTCCCTGGCACTAGTACCATACCTGACAAATGATGTTTATTGCCTTATAAATAATGTATAAAGATTAAACTGGGGGTGCCTGGGTGGCTCAGTGGGTTAAGCATCTGCCTTCAACTCAGGTCATGATCTCTGGGTCCTGGGATCAAGTCCCACATTGGGCTTTCTGCTCAGTGGGGAGTCTGCTTCTCCCTCTCCCTCTGTGCTCTCTCTCTCTCTCTCTCTTGCCCTCTCTCAAGTAAATAAATAAAAATTAAAAAAAAAATGCCCCAAGAAGGGAGAGAATACTGTAACACAAATTTAGACCCACTACCCGGGGATAAGGTGCTATAAAATTTGAGAGCCTTCTAACTTCCACCATTTTCCTGTTTTGGAATATTTTAGCTTGTAATGAAATGTACAGTGTTCTGCCTCCCACTTTTATGTATAGAAAGAAGTCTTCTTTAATTTTTTTTGTGATGTGGGGAGGGGAATCCTATGATTCCAGACAGAAAATATTGTACTTTGGTCGACTTTGAAATGGGCTTCCATTCCATGAATATAATTAATCCAAAGAAGGTCAAACTCATTAGAACTTGGGTGACAAAGAACTCTTGAATTTATACTGGCTCATGTGCTGCATCACCAGCCTCTTGGCACACAGAGTTCTTTAATCCAAGTTACTAGATTGGATTTGATAATGATAGAGCTAGAGAATTTTATGAAGAGCAATGGCAAAAAATAAATTTAAAAAATGGAAAAATTTGATCTTTGGTAAAAAAATGGTTTTATTTTCTGATGGGAAAAATAAGTTTACTAAAGATGAATCACACTTTAGATTTCTCTTACTCACTCTGAACAGAACCAAAGTAGAAATGTTAATAGGGAAGTCCATTTTCACTATTAGTATGAGCCAAGAAATGGTTTAAAAACAGTGGTTGGAGCAATGCTTTTACAGTTTCAGATATGATAATCATGAAGAAAACAATGTCATTTGCTGCTATTATTGTAAGAGTCTGATAATTAATAGTATTTCTATAATTTTTGATTGTGAGCTCACTTATTTTGGGCTGAGCATGCCAAGTTAAAGAGACCAAGTGTACATTATATTCTGTGTATTCAGTGGTAAAATTACTGAACTACCATGTGCCTATTTTTAATTTGTGCTTCAGTATTTGTCTTTCAGAGCAAGTATACTTGACTTTTGGTCATGAATCTGGAGAAAATTTGCTATTTAAAAATGGTGTGGGATAAATCTTTTTTTTTTTTCATAAATCTCCAGTTTAGCTTTTTAAAAAAGAAAGCAAACTTTCATATATTAGTTTTATTTCAAGCAAGGTTCACTCCTGGTTTGTTTACTTTCTTTCAATCACAATTTCTCATCAAACCAACGGTTTATAGCTCTAGGATGTGTGCATTCTGTGTGATGTGAATGCTCTATGAGAGAGATCAGACTTCAGTCTTGACCCCATCATTCCCTTGGGTTCACTAACCGAACCACTAGTTCTCATGGCTAATTTAATGGGGATGTTGATGGTTAAATGGATGTCAGATCCCTCATTCCAGTTTTTTGCAATGCTGGATAGGAACCACAGCCTATCCAGGGATTGATGCCAAAGTGTTAAATTCAGGCACATGCTGGAGGTTGGAGATGGTGGCAGTGATGGACCCAGAACCAGGGTCATCACTGCCTTAGACCTGTTAATTAACCCAAGTCAAGGACCGTGGCAAGGACTTTCTCAAGTCTTGGACTGAGTGACTTCTTGAGATTTGAGGCTCAGGAAATCTGTTATAGTTATGTGCATACTTTCTGACATATTCCTCCTCAAACATCACAGACATGTTCCCACCTCAGGGCTTTTTTTTGCACATACTGTTTCCTCTGTCTGGAACGTTCTTCCCCAGATATCTACCTGGCTTGCTCCCTCATTTCCTTTAGGCCCTTGCTCAAATGTCACCATCTACCTTAGTTAACCACCTCCCTGCCCTGCCCCACCAAACCCTATATGCTTTCCTGGCTTGCCTTTTTTCCCATAGCATTTCACCCTCTCTTACACTAGATTTTTTACTTATTTATTTGTTTATTATTTGTTTCCCCGAACTAGAGTGTAAGCTCCATGAGAGATGAAACTTTGTCTGCTTTGTTGATTGCCATATCCCCAGTGCCTAGAATAGTACCTGGCATGAAATAAATATTTATTGATTGAATGAATGAATTTCATATACCGTATGGATTAATGGTCAGTTTAAATGTACTAATCACACTCTGAGAAGGAGAGAGACAGTTCTGTTTTCTAGTTTCCTATTAATAAGTACCAAAATCCATTTTATCAGTGAAACAGGAGGTAATACATATATATACAACCAAAATTGATGAAAGAAAACTGACGGATGGAAGTTCATTCACATTTTAGAAATTTTTGTGCAGTGAGGAAAACCAATACTGTTAGAAAGAAACATCTTGAAAAGTCATGCTAAATAAGCCACAGTCAAGACTAAGTTGATTTTCCACTGAAGTCCTCAAATCTACTCTTAATGGAATATTGACTATGTTTTAAACATTACTTTAGACTAAGACTTCTAAAAATGTTGCCTTTGTAGTTTAAATCCTATCTTACTACTGAACTGCTACTCATTTCTCTCTCTCTCTCTTTTTTTTTTTTTTGGCCCCAACAAATTCTATAAATGCCTTGCCTGGCTGTGATTCAAAAAGAGCTCAAAGATGAGAATGCTGGGGACAGACAATTTCAGCTTCTTTATCTGTCATGCTCATAACTGAACACTCTAATGGCTTGCAATAATTTAAAAATAAAAGAACAACAGTGAACAAAATTGTGGCACTTGGAGTAAGTTGAAAATTCAAATCAGACACGTTAATTACCACACACAGACAGACACACATACACAGAGCTTGTGGGTAGGGGAAGGCCCTTGAGTAAGAGACAGAGAGCTGGTCTGATAATTTACATAGCAGCTCCTATTTATTTCATTGCAAACTGTGCTTTGAAGGTGGCCTGAAGTCAAGTAGGTGTGCCATGAGGACTTCTCCAAAGCGACTCTTCTGTGTTAAATGGAGCTCATTAAGTTAAATAAAGGTAAACTTGAAAAAGATGAGCTTATATGTGTCATTCTACTCCAAGAAAGACTGAACTTAGCTAGTCACACATGAATTCAACTGGACAAAACAATTCAATCGGAAAGGGACAAGATTGATCAAAATTAGCCATTAAATGAATCTGCTCAATAAGCACTCCTTTGTTAGGCTAATAAAAATAGTGTAACCTAGATCTGCAAAAAAGTTCTAGTACCTTGAAACCCAAGTTCAAAGAGAAATAAATGCAAACTTCATAACTTCACCTAACAGACCTCCCACCATGTTCTAGCTATGTAACTATGTGAATGCTGTAATTGCTTGCAGCCCTGAATTAACGTTTTTTTCTCCAGTCTGATAAAACATAGGGATTTCTTTTAAAGCAGTACCTTTTCTCCTCTCTCATCTTGCCGGTAACCAAGATAATGGATGAGTGAGAAAAATCAAAGAAACTTCTGGATCTATCATAATGGACGCTTAACCATCACGCTAAGCAGCAGCAAAAATGATGGTCTGGGAGTCATAACAGACCCTTGTTTGGTAACTTATCTGTGTCTCCTAAACTGAGGCACTGCCTAACTCTTGACTTTTCATCAGTTTTCCTGGTCCTCAAAAGAAGTTTGGTTCTTCAGGAACAAATCTGAGTGGGTGAATCTCA